ACCTAAAGAGCTAATTTGAGCAATGTAACAACTGTCTGTACTACAACTGTAAGAGCTAATTTGAGCAGCGGTACAACTGCTTTCATTCTGCCTCCAAAAACGTGGCCGAGTGAAGTTACAGTTACTCCAGCAGTGATATAAGTGACGATGCCAAGTGAGTTTAGTACAAAACCAAGCCCTCCGTTAGTAACAACAACTGGAACACAAGTAGGCACGGTGACTCATACAACAATTCCTAACGTAGTGATGAATAATTCAGCTATCGTTCCAACGTTAAAGATGGACGGAGGAGCTACAGAAGTAGGTGAGGATAACGATCATGAGTATGATAATTATGACAGCTATTATGACCCAGAGGACCAAACGATGATGTAGAAGACTCGTGGAGCAGATTCAGGCTAATGCAGAGGAGTGTTAGGATAATAGAAGATAAAAGCTGGGAGCAAGCTAATCAGAATGGGGGGTACAAGTGGGCATGGTACTCAGTGAAGGAGATGTCCTCCAGTGAATGCATAATGTGTTCAGAAGCCCCAACAACATTGCATATGTTGGTTCCAGAAAAGCACACTTTCAAAGAATGTGCGAAGACACAACAGCATGAGAGCAGAGAGGGAAGATTCGTCCCCAGAGACGAGTTGTCTCCAATCTTCAGACTTCCTCTTTGTGGTGTTCAATGTAGACTCTTGTATGGATCTCAGAAGAAACACGACGACTTAGATCGGCATCCTGAATATCAACTGCGCAGAAGTTACGATTTACACATCGCAGAATGAGCCTCCCACTAATTATAAAGTAGATCAATTAGAAGAGTATGAATGTTTTGCCAGTGGTGCATTTGCTGCGGATGGGAAAAGGGAGTTCTAAGCACGAACTGAGATTAAGGCTGGATTTGAATCTATACTGTCCTGAACTAGGGTTGGGTACCGAAACATGGTGCCAATATGGCACCGATCTGTCAAATGGCTCAAACGTCCTCCATCGACATCCGGGTACTTAGCGCTGGCGCTCATAAGCACAACATCCACAGGCACGCAAAAGCTTCTTCTTCTTCTTCGAGGTGTAGTGGTTGGCAAACGACAAATTGGCGCATTACCGCCACCAACTGGTAAAATAAAATAAAATAAGTCAGGAGAGGAGTCGTATTTTGCCAGAGAAGGCAAATATGCTCGTATTTCTGCAAAATAATTGCTGAAGTTTGAAGCTGTAGTGTGTGTACAGAGTGTGTGTGTGTTTTGTATTTATTTATATTTATTTAAGTATACTGTAAACTGTTAACAGTTAATATACTTTTCATAGTTTGAAGTTAAAAAGTTTGAAGCTGTAGTTTGAACCTAAGTGTTTTGTATTTATTTATATTTATAGTATACTTCAAACAGTTAATATATTGTTCAATTTGAAGAAAAAAGCATCGATTCTGGCACCGGTATCGTTTTAAAAGTATCGTTTTAGCACCGGTATCGGAAAAAACCCAGACGATACCCATCCCTAATTATTGCTGGCAACAGGTTTGTGAACCTCTTTGGGAGATTGTCCAGCCACAGTGGGTTATCAGCGTACCACCTCTTCCTGCACACTTCACAGCACAGCCTGGATGACAACAGCTAGTACTGTCAGATGATGCTGTCAATTCATTCTCGCTGGGGAGGGAAACGCCACCATGACACCATCTTCATGGGGTTGCGCATAGGAATGGAGCCTGGCGAGAGACCCATCGACACCAGCTCTGTCTTCATCCAGATCCTCTGCTGCTGTGAGTGGTATTTGGTTCTAAATGTGTATCTGGATCCGAGTTCCAAATATATTTTCATTTTATTTAAGTAAATAGTAAAAATCTGTATAGAAAACAAGTGTTCTAAGTAGCATACTAGTGGCCATTTGTCTGTAACATGAATCAAAGGGCCACTGAAGCGCCATGAATATGTGGTATACGCAGGATAAAGAGTCCATTGTCCATGAAAAGTTTCAGTTTCTTATGATTTATTTCTGGAAAAACAGGCAATCGAAAGAACAAATTGAACTGCAGTTATGATGGTGAAAACATTGGCGGAACTTTTCAACTGTTTGTGAGCCATCATGAAAACAATTAGAACAGATTACTTGAACATTTGTCACAATAGTTCTTCGACTAAATCAAAGAGAGAAAAGTCTGTAAACAAAAGATTAAATATTCCCGTCATAAAACGAAGTTCCAGCTCATCAACACAAGGAACTAGAACTGAAATCTTTGCTGAATATTCAAGATTCTCCTTCCATCGGACAGAATCACTATATCCCAAAGAGATGAGGTCAGTAGAGGGTGATGTTGAATAAAAACCGATGTAGACAACTAACCACTATTATTTTTTTCTTCAGTTATGGAACAAAATTGCAGTTTGTAGAGTGAAACAAAATCACGGAAGTAATGAATTTAAACGAGAGAAAACGTTGCTGAAGAGAAAGAAGGTTAAATATTTGTCTTAGTTTCATCACCAATGATAATTCAGCTCAAACCATAGTGCTGTATAGGGGACAAGAAATACTTTCACAATTTAACACAATATTAAATACCTGACAACATATAGAGACAAATACCAACAGGATTTAAATTGATGTGTAGCTTCATCTTAGCTGAATAAACAGATTTTGGAGTCTGACAGTTTTTAAGTGTTTAAACATGTCTCATGTATTTCTGACACTCTCACCAATATAATTAAGATTTATGAAATTACAGAGACAAGAGAATCTTTTATTTTAAACTGATCAACTAAACAGTTTCCCCCGTGTGGACAGTCATGTGTTGTGTCAGGTTTCCCTTATGTGCAAATGTTTTACCACAAACTGAACAACTAAATGGTTTCTCCCCTGTGTGGAAAGTCACGTGTTGTGTCAGGTTTCTCTTGCGCGCAAACGTTTTACCACAAACTGAACAACTAAATAGTTTCTCCCCTGTGTGGACAATCATGTGACCTTTCAGGTGTCCCTTTTGTGCAAATGTTTTACCACAAACTGAACAACTAAATAGTTTCTCCCTTGTGTGGACAATCATGTGACCTTTCAGGTGTCCCTTTTGTGCAAATGTTTTACCACAAACTGAACAACTAAATAGTTTCTCCCCTGTGTGGACAATCATGTGACCCTTCAGGTTTCCCTTATGTGCAAATGTTTTACCACAAACTGAACAACTCAATGGTTTCTCCCCTGTGTGGCAAGTCATGTGTTGTGTCAGGTTTCTCTTGTGTGCAAACATTTTACCACAAACTGAACAACTAAATGGTTTCTCTCCTGTGTGGACAATCATGTGATTTGTCAGGTTTCCCTTTTGTGCAAATCCTTTGCCACAAACTGAACATTGAAATGGTTTCACTCCTGTTTTAGACTCAGTGTGTTTGTTCAGATATCCCTTGTTAAAGCTTCCAGCACATTCAGAGGAGCCGATTGATGTTTTTCCAGTATTACAGTGCAGATCACTTACAGGTACTTCATTGTTTTGAAGAGGGTTTAAAATTGACTGAAGTTCCTGAGTCTCCTCCCAGTCTCTACCATCATCAGTCTCACATTCAGAGGAGTGTAAAGTCTCATCAGCAGCTGGTTGTAAAGGACTATCTGGATCTGATCTGGATCTCTCTCCATCAGTTTCTGTTTTCAAATGCTCTTCCTCTCTGTTCTCCTGAGTTTGTATTTGATGAAGCTGTGAGGACTGAGCTTCCTCTTCTTCATCATCAAGCACATTTTTCAGAGAGTTTGAACCTGATTGGTGGTCTCTGTTCTGTTTCCAGTCATCGCTGTCATCAGTCTCTGGTTCAGAAGAGTCTTCAGTCTCGTTATCAGTATCTGGATCTGAGTTCCTGTCTGGTTCTGGTCCTCCACAGTCCTCTCCATCAGCTTCTGTTTCCATCTGTTCAGTTTGTCTTTGATGAAGTTGTGAGGACTGAGCTTCCTCTTCATCATCTTCACTCTTCACAGGAGTGAATGAGAACTTGATATCAGCCTCCTCCAGACCTTGAAGCTGCTCTCCCTCCTGACTGGTCCAGAGTTCCTCCTGGTCGTCTTTAACGTGTGGGGGCTCTGGGTCCTCCTGGTCGTCTTTAACGTGTGGGGGCTCTGGGTCCTCCTGGTCGTCTTTAACGTGTGGGGGCTCTGGGTCCTCCTGGTCCTCTTTAATGTGTGGGGGCTCTGGGTCCTCTTTAATGTGTGGGGGCTCTGGGTCCTCTTTAATGTGTGGGGTCTCTGGGTCCTCCTGTTCCTCTTTAATGTGTGGGGGCTCTGGGTCCTGCTGGTCCAGATTGGAGCTCCACTCCTGCTGCTCTTCTTTAACCACCAACAGTTGCTGGACATCTGTGGAGAATAATAAAATACCTTCATACGTCTTAAGAATCTCATATTAATCATTCAAGATTAATTATTCAAGAGGTTTATCATTGAAAAAGCGGTGAATTAGTTCCACTCTAGCACACCAACAGAAGCATGTGTAGCTATGATAGTAAGAGAAGTATATATATATATATATATATATATATATATATATATAATTGTCCTTATATTATAAAAGAAAGTAATATAATACAGTCTGGGATTGCAGAAAAGGATGAACCAGTCAATGACGCTCCAGTTACTGGAATAAATATCGCGGAAAAAAGCTCCACATTTGAAAGGAAGAGGATGAAAAACTGTCATCTGAAAACTACAATATGTACCTCTGGGATGTAGTGGAGGGGAAGTATAAAGCTTTTATAAAGAGTTTTTAAATACTTATGTACCTATAACTTTACCTCAGTCCATGACGTGAATACTTGAGTGCATGACGTGAATACTTGAGTGCATGACGTGAATGAACCAACCTGCTCTGTGTAACTGAAGCTGAGGGATGAAAACAGCGTCCAGTAGTCTCCGTTGTCGCTCGTTCTCCTCTTTTGAACGAGAGAGTTCCTCCTCGTACTCTGCTATCGTTCTTTCAAACACACCAAATATCTCTTCAGCAGCCGCAGTTAGTCGCTGGTTGACTAAACATCTCAGCATTTGGACTTTAGACATGTTCTCACTCTGACCTGCGCTGTGTTGCTCGGGTCCGTCTACTTCCTGCTAGCATGCTAACCTCATTAGCTCCGTAGGACACCAGGAGACAATCTGGACGTTTTAAATGAAGCGAGACAACACAGAGTCCACTCAGACAGGTTCATGTGGACTTTGTGGGTCGATGAAAAACTCAGTTTAGTTTCTATCGAACAGAGACTCCGACTAGCGCTCTGTGGGTCCGTCTATTTCCTGCTAGCACACTACGCTAGCTTCATTTAGCATTGGTGGCTAACAGAGATGAGTCTGAGGTAAAACTTTGTACAAAGTCCACTTAAACAGACACATGCGGGCTCTGGTGGTTCACTCCGGTTGTTTGTTTGTACCTGAAGAACTGTGAGACTAAAAGAGTAGAACTCACGAGGGAAACCGGTTTACAACAAGGAGGAAAAAAACTCTGGATCGCTTCTTCTTCTTCTTCTTCTTCCTGTTTGAGGTTTATTGGCGGTTGGCAAACAATGAATTAGTGCATTACCGCCACCAACTGGTGTGGAGTGTGGATCAGGATGTCTAATAGGATACTTATATACAAAATTAAATTCAAAAGGAAAAGAAAAAAGAAACAAAACAAAACAACGGGCTCATATTTTCGTAATAATATTAATTAATCTAAGATATTGAACTAATACTTGATAACACTCACTTTTTGAGTTCTTTTGCAGAATATCCACTATATCCAACCGTACCTTCATCTTGCCGAGGTCTCTAATCAGCTGCCCTCTTTCCTGCTCATATTTCTGACATTGTACCATTACATGCTCTATTCTTTCCTCTTGCTCACAATAGTCACATTTTCCTGTTTACCTATTTTTTTAAGCATACCGTTTAGGCCTGTATGTCCAAATCTATGCCTTGATATCACCGTTTCCTCTCTCCTGTTCCTTCCTGCACATCTCATGTCTCCCACTTTCCTCTGAACTCGGTAAAACCATCGTCCTTTCCTGTCTTCTTCCCATTGCTTCTGCTACCTTCCCTTCAACCTCTGTTTAATGATACTTTTTGTTTCTGATTTACTGAAGCTGACTAACATTAGTGCAGCTATTTTTTGTGGCCTCTTTTGCAGCTTTATCGGCCATCTCATTTCCTATGACCCCAATATGTGCTGGTACCCATAGTAGGAATATGACTGTCAGACCCATCATTTCAATTCTATATAATGTTTGTTGTATTTCTATAAGGATGTCTGGTCTACTGTCTGAATGGCTGTTCTGTAAGCTGGCTAATGATGAGCTTGAGTCTGAACAAATGATTGCCCTCAATGGTCTTGTGTCCTCTATTCACTGTAGTGCTGACATTATTGCCAGCATTTCCCCTGTGTACACTGATAGTCCCTCAGTGATCATTTTCCCTATTTTAATATTAAATTCTGGGACAATAAATGCCACTCCTACCTTGTTTCCTAAATTCTTTGATGCATCTGTAAAAACCTGGATATAACTGTGGTAACTGTCGATATGTGCCTGTATTGTATGCCAATTGAAATGATCCGCTCTACCCTTGTTCTTCTTTTTTAATAACGTAAAGTCTACTGTGGCATCAGGAAGTATCCACGGTGCTATTGTTGGTAACGGGACTGTTGGACTGAAGTTTAATTTAGCTATATGTTAAGTTCTGTTGCTTTCTGTGCTACTGTCCACCAAAGCTTCTTGTCTTCCTCTTCTCCTTTTCCCAACATGGTTCTAATGTTTCCTGTGTTGGATGTTCTTCACTGTGTCCCTGTAGATTTGCCCAATAGCTCAATGCTAACTGTGTTCTTCGTAGTTCTAGCGGCATTTCACTCATTTCCACCTGTAATGCAGCCGTTGGGGTTGTTTTAAAGGCACCGGTGCATATTCTTAATGCCCGATATTGAATAATATCCAGTTTTTTAAGAGATGTGCTTGCTGCTGATCCATACACCACACACCCATAATCTAATATAGATCTAATTAATCCACTGTATATGGCTTTCAAAGCAGTTCTATCTGCCCCCCATTCACTTCCCACCAAACACCTCATTATATTTAATACTTTTTTACATTTATTCTCTACTTTATTAATATGTACAGCCCATGTGATCCTTTCGTCAAACCACAAACCTAAATATTTAAAGTGTTTTACTCTCTCCAATTCATGATTATATAGTTCTAGTTTTACTTCACTACCAATTTGTCTCCTTGTAAAGAACATCGTCTTTGTCTCATCTACTCAGAATTTAAAACCCCATTTATATGACCACCTTCAGAATGGCTCTCTGCAGTTTCTTTACTATGAATTCCACATTTCTCCCCCTCTTCCAAATTGCCCCATCATCTGCAAATAGTGACAATCCCATTTTCAATATCTATTACACTGAACACATCATTTATCATTATGGAGAATAGTAATGGACTGACTATACTACCTTGAGGCGTTCCATTTTCAATACCAACCTTTCCAGAATAGCTCTTTCCTACTCTGACTTCTAAACATCTTTTTAATAAAAAATCCTTTATCCATCTATACATTCGCCCCTTAATACCCAACTTGCAGAGTCTAATTAGTAACCCTTCTCTCCACATCATATCATATGCTTTCTCTATGTCAAAGAAGACAGCCACAACACTTCCCTTGTTTACCTGCTTTCATAACTTCATGTTCTAAACTTAAAGCTGGATCTAAAGGACTTCTCCCTTTCCTGAATCCACTCTGGTATTTGGATATATATCCTTTACTTTCTACATAATATATTCATCTGTCATTTATCATTTTCTCCATTATTTTGCAGATATTGGATGTTAAAGCTATTGATCTATAGTTCCTGGGTTCGTACAATCTTTACCGGGTTTGCGTATCAGGACTATAATTGCCTCCTTCCAGCTTTGAGGGAATTTGCCACCCTCCCAAACTTTATTATATAATTTGCGTAATATATCCTCAGAAGATTCACTAAGATTGTTTAACATGATATAATAAATCTGGTCCTTGCCCCGACGTTTTGGTTTTCTTGAGACATCGGCTCAGTTCTGTTTTTGTAAAAGGCTTGTTTAGCAGATCATTAGTATCTTCCTCTTGCTGTAATACATGTTCATTCTCCACTATTGTAGCTTCCCTTCCTTTTACCTTCTTCACCAATAGTATCTGAACTATGTATTTTAACAAAGGTTTTTCTTTCTCTGCATCTCTCACTGCTGCTGTTTCACCATCATTGAGGACTGGATACCACTCTCTTTTAATCCCGTTCATTCTGTTCATCATGTTCCACACCGTATCTATTGTTCTCTCTCTTCCTATTGAGTTACAAAATGTCCTCCAACATTCCTTCTTTGTATTTTTATGATCCTCCTTACATTTGCTTGCAACTTTTTATAATCAGTAAGATTCTGAAAACTATGATTCTTTTTTAATACTTTGAAAGCTTTATTCCGAGATTTAATTGCTTCATCACATTCCTTAGTCCACCAAGGAATCATCTTCTTCTCATGCTCACCTCCCTTCTTCTGCACGGACTCCTCTACAGCCTCTGATAGCTTCACAAATAGAATCATTTCTACATCTGCACTAATACACACTTTCTCCATCTCTTGATCACTAACCCTTCTACATTCATCCCAGTCAGCACTGCTGATAGACCATTTCTGTAGTCCTTCTGTCTCATTATTGGATGATGGTCACTTCCTACCGTTGTTCCTCTTATTACCTCCCAGGAGCTAACTCAGATACTAAAGTAAGGTCTATTGCCGGCTCTGTCCCTGTTCTGATGTTACATCTTGTCCCAGTTCCATTATTTAAGCACACCAGGTTTTTTATCTCCATTAATTCTTCTATCATTCCATTGTTATCATTACCATTACCCCATAATGTGCTATGAGCATT